TGCTGCTGAGTGGTCCAAAGTTATGTTCTCTGATTACAGTAAATTTTGCATTTCCTTTGGAAATCAAGGTCCCAGAGTCTGGAGGAAGAGAGGAGACACAGAATTCACATTGCTTGAGGTCCAGTGTCAAGTTTCCACAGTCACTGGGGTGTCATGTCAGCTGCTGGTGTTGGTCCACTGTGTTTTATCAAGGGCAGGGTCAACGCAGCTAGCTATCAGGAGATTTTGGAGCACTTCATGCTTCCATCTGCTGAAAAGCTTTATGGAGATGAAGATTTCATTTTTCAGCACGACCTGGCACCTGCTCACAGTGCCAAAACCACTGGTAAATGGTTTACTGACCATGGTATTACTGTGCTCAATTGGCCTGCCAACTCTCCTGACCTGAACCCCATAGAGAACCTGTGGGATATTGTGAAGAGAAAGTTGAGAGACGCAAGACCCAACACTCTGGATGAGCTTAAGGCCGCTATCAAAGCATCCTGGGCCTCCATAACACCTCAGCAGTGCCACAGGCTGATTGCCTCCATGCCACGCCGCATTGAAGCAGTCATTCATGCAAAAGGATTCCCAACCAAGTATTGAGTGCATAACTGAACATGATTATTTGAAGGTTGGCGTTTTTTTTGTATTAAAAACACTTGTCTTTTGTTGGTGGGATGAAATATGCTATTTTTTTGGGACAGGCATTTTGGGTTTTCATGAGCTGTATGCCATAATCATCAGTATTAAAACAATTAAAGACCTGAAATATTTCAGTTGGTGTGCAATGAATCTGAAATATATGAAAGTTTCATTTTTATCATTACATTATGGAAAATAATGACCTTTATCACAATATGCTAATTTTTTGAGAAGGACCTGTATAACCAACTTCAGTCAGGTCTTTTACACCTTCAGCTAATTAAACACTACTGTTGCATTTTGAAGCAGTCTTTAGGAGTGATCCAGCTCTCCACTCTCATCTTAAACTCCAGTTATCGGTAATTTTATCGGCACTCTTGGAGACTCATGGTTTAATTTCCTTTGAAACTGTGGCAGTGATTCAAAAGGCTCAAACAGGTCTGTTTTAATGCGTAAGGAGGGCTGCTTGCTTTCTGATGAGCCACACTTTGAGGGCATTTTGGCTGCTGAGAAGTGTTGTTAAAATGTGAAACATTTTAATTCATTTAGGTAAAACTCATACACAATCTGGATCAGCTTTTTCGTGTTGCTGACTCAGCGAGAAGGGGTTCTTTGCAGGCCAAAAGTGGGCATTTCAGGAGAATAGGCGTTTGTGGGGGGCAAACACTGATTGGCTAGCTGTATTTGTTGGCTCTTTAGGTAAGTTATGTCAGCTCTTTTTTAAAAGTGAAGGTTTCTAAGAAACAGTGTAATATCTGCTGTCAAACACAAGAAGATTCTTTTTAGTCCTTGGGTTGTATGCTGCACCTGACAAAGGTCGGCTTGAGTGTGGTCTGGGTACAATGAAATATGAAGCATCTGAAGCAAAACTTGCTCCCATTTGTCAAAAAGTCCAGTCTCAATTAAAGATCATGAGTTCTGTGATGAGATAATGGCCCAAAACAAAGCTAAAAACAAAATTTGCTCTTTAGAAATGCTCTTCTATGAGATCTGATCTATGAAAAGAGCTGAAACATGGAGTAGGATTGACCCTTAAAATCTGAGACAGCTGAGGAAGTTAACCAGTAAACAGAAATATCTGCTCAAGTTGCAGAAATCTTACAGAAACTGACAATCACTCATCTGCAGTGACCGATTTAAAAGCTGAACGAGAATGTAAATCTAAAACAGTTCAATCTGGTCCTCTTGACATTCAAAAAAACAAAACAAAGCAAAAAAAATGTACATATGTTTCATCTTTCATCCGAAAGACTTCCTTAGTCTGAAGTGCTGTATTCAGCTCAGTCTTATAAATAGCACCTTCTCAGAGTGGATCAACCAGTTTGCTGCTGACAACCAAAACCAGCTGCTCACATGGTCAAGAAGGACCATCAGCCTAACAATGGATCATTAGCACACTGATGGCTGTTTACTATTCACAGGGGGTTGAGTGATACTAGCAATAACAGCATTGTAAGAGGGGGACAGTTGAACACGTAGGCCTCCACCCCGGTTTAATGATGGACAATTTCTTTTCACAAAGATGGCCTCCTTTATTTCTCTCTCAAACCATCGTTCCTCTCTATCCAGGATGTGAACATCTTCATCCCTGAAAGAGTGACTGCTGGTCTGGAGATGAGTGTAGACCGGAGAATCCTGGCCTGATGGTGTTGATCTTCTGTGCTGGGCCATCCTTTTGGCCAGTGGCTGTTTAGTTTCCCCGATGTAAGACTGATCACAGCCCTCCTGACACTGAACAGCATACACAATATTACTCTGTTTGTGCCGGGGGACTGGATCTTTGGGATGAACCAGTCTTTGCCATAATGTATTTTGGGGTTTAAAAGCCACTGGGACGTTATGTTTAGAAAATAAACGTCTCAGTTTCTCTGATACTCCCTCAACATACGGAATGACCACTGGTCTGGGTTCCTCCTTTTCACCTGATGGCTGACTGGAGTCCTGTTTGGGTTTCTTCTCTGCTTTCAGGAAGACCCAGTTAGGATGTCCACATTGCTCTAGAGCCTGTCTTGTGTGGGATTTCTCCTTCTGCCTGGCTCCTGAGTTAGTGGGGACGCTGTCTGCTCTGTGGTACAGAGTCCTGATGACTCCTAACTTGTGCTCCAAAGAGTGATGGGAGTCAAACTGCAAATACTGGTCTGTGTGGGTGGGTTTGCGGTACACCTCAGTTTGCAAATGTCCTCTATCAGAGACTGAGACCTCACAGTCCAAGAAAGCCAACCTGCCAGAAGAGAATGTGAAGTTAAAGGAAATGTCCTTTGTCCCAAGGCCAGTTTAAGTATCATTAATATTTTGGGTTTTTTATTTTTCTTTCTTTATGAATTTATTGTAACTATTTTCACATTTTTCAACAACCAAAATGTATTTTGTTTTTTAATGTAATGGCTAGGTATTCAAAAACAAACATTTAGCCCTCCCCACTACCCAGTTATGTTGCTCTTATTTTGAAATGTAACCGGAAGTTCTGTGTTGAGAGGCAGAAAGAAAAGTTATGGAGATAATGTCTAATGTCAAACCGAGACGCCGCTAATGTCGAACTGCTTAACACCATAGACATAATATGTCGGTGGTTAACACAATCTGCCAATAACGCCTTGTTTTTAGGCATAATATGTCTGTGGTTAACACAAACGATTTTTTTCGTTCAGCCTTTTTTTTTGTCCAATCAGATGTGGCCCTCCAGACATGCCCAATGTTCTATCGTCCAATCAGATGTGGCCCCCCAGATACACCTTCCGAATTTGTCTGCAGAGATACCTACTTGGACTCAGCAGCCTCCACAATTTAGGTGTTCTGTGGAAAAGTGATTTCTGAATCGACCAAAGCGACATGGAGGGTTGAAGCCAGCACTTTGTGCCACCAGGGTTAAATATGTGTTCATCCTAGGACTGAGAACCTACATCAATGTACTCTTTGCAGTAGAAGTGCTAGGTTGCAGGCAAGACAGATTATTGAGAAACATGTTAACATTATGACTAACAGCTAGTTTTGCTCACACCAAAATATAAACTCCCCTTCAATTTCATTATCACTATAAAAACTGCTTGGATCCGATAATTATTAGACTACAAGTGTAAAATAACTCAATTTATCTAAGCTTTACAGCTTCTGGCCAAAGGATGGAAATACTACATCAATTAAAAGTATGGATAAAAGTATATGATTAAAAAGTAAAACATGATTACAATGAAATTACCTGAGTAACTGCATCCAAATATGTATAAAACCTCAAACGAGAACGTTCCCTTTCAGTTGTCCAGTGCTCCTAGCCCAGCCCTTACAGTGCACCACTTTCACAGTTCACCTTTACATGTGCATGCAGGACATGAATTAAGCCTGCAGTACATAATTTATCACAATATGCACCATTTAAAACTATCATTTACTTAAAATGTATGTACAGGAACTAAAAGGTAACATAATACTGTAGTGTTATTAAAAATATACACAATCTGAAATATTTCATTTGAACCCACAAAGTGTGAAACCACTTGAAAGTGGTGGAAACTTTCATAACAGTTTGTTCCAGTCTCTTGTTGCCTCCATGAGGTGCCTCTGTCCATGGCCGATCCAGTCTTCTTGGTTATTAAAGAGTCGCCCGCAGAACCAGCAGCCAAACACAGCTGAACCTGGCCTGCAAGCTGTCTTAACTATCTTATATTTCCTTTTGTTTTTCTTCCTCAGTTTCATTTTTAGAAGGAAGCGCTCTCGGACCGAACTTTGAAGTGGCCTGGGTCTTGGATCATCACCACTAGATGATGCACCTCTGCTCAAGGAGTTCATTCCCAGATCAGTGAAGTCGGAGAGCGCCTGGACTGTTTTTTGACTAAGAGAGACCTTTGAGACAGCACCTTTGTACTTGCTGACAGCTTTCATGATGTTGACCACTTCAGGAATGTCAGCATCTGGATGATTGAGCACCACGACTGGCTGGTATCTACGAGGGCATTTGATCTGTTGTACTGAGCTGAATGGGGCAAGCCTCAGTGTCCTCTCTACCTCTTTGGCAACAGGCTTCCATAAGACGATCTCTTTCTCAGTCTGAACCTTCTCTGAAAGTCTTTGTGCCTTGTGAACTGTTGTTGGAAGCTCATCAAACAATGCTTTTCTGTGCCTTTTCCTTTGGCTTGGAGGCCTTATTGGTCTTGGAGCTAGGGCAAGTTTCTCTGCTTCGCACGGTTGGAGCTTTCTTTTAAACAGAGATGGCGAAATGTCAGATTTCATGATATTTTTTTGTGTACTGATCAAATTCTTTAGTCCACTGGAAGCAGTAGCATTTGTTTTATTTTGTGACAACAGGAAACATTGAGTTTGAGGTCTTGTGGCAAAGAACAAAGGCTGGTTGGTTATTGAAGCTCCACTTGAAAGAAGGCCACCATTGGGGGCAACAATTTTAAATATTACCTTATTTCCAGAGCTCTCATTAGTTTTACTATGCAGAGTCCCCGTCTTTGTATCTTGGTTGTTTAGAAGTAGGTCTGATTTGGGTGGAGAAACATATCGGAGCAAGAAAGCTTGGCGACCAGTTTGTGGGATGTTGGATTTCCCTGCAGAGTTAACAGGCATAGCCAGAACAGGCCGTGATCTCACTGAGAGCTGAGTGCTTCCCACTTTGACATTAGGTGAACTGGACTTCTGAATAAAAGGGACAGATCTTTGGACCAAGTAGCATGTGGATTGTGTCTTTGCTGTTTTGTCTGCTGGTGTGCTCTGCAATGAGCTCGAAAGGATGACAGGACCAGTAAAGCCTTGCCTGTTGATCAGGTAGTGATTTGAGGTGGTGCTAACTCCTGGCTGAACAGCAGAAAACAGAGCCATCCCATTTTCTGTGGCTTGTGGCTTTGCTGACGGGACAGTAATGATTTTGGTGTTAGGAGAAAGAGTTACACCACTGATGTTACTGGATTTATCAACCCCCTGTTTCATGTACGATACATTAATCTGAGAATCTGAAGATCTAGTTATCAGTTTGAACCCTGGAGCAGCCTTGACTTGCACTGGCATAGCAAATCTTTTCTCAGTTGTCTTCAGGAACACTGGTTGTTTACCTTCAGGAAACTGACAAAAATGCACAGTACTCGTTTGTTTTACAGAGTCCTTGCTTGCTATCAAAAATCTAGGTCCTTCTTTGCTAGGTTGAACAACAATTGATTTTAAATTAACCAAATTTTCACTGGAGGTTGAGCTACTTTTTGTTTCTGGCAGTTTTGAGGAGATGGGAATGCTGTCCTCTTCAATTTTGATAATATTGAAATCTTGAAGCACTGATTCAGGATTTTCTTCAGTCAGAAGATGGTCAACACTAGTTATGCACTCATCAACCTCAATGTCACCACATGTGCTTTGTGTGGAGTGTTCAGGAGATTCTGCCAGTGTGAGGCTAAATTGTGATGATTCACATGCGTTTTCTTGGTGTCCTGAGTGATTGGAATCATCGTCCGAGTTTTGGTTAGTGCTAGGCGATGTGCCAAATGTCTCCTTGGAATAGTTGTGAAAGGTAAACACTTCTTGGCTTGGCGTATTTTGTGTGCTTTTTTCTTTAAAACCGGCCCCAGCTCTGCTGCTAACTGAAGAAGTTGGGGGTTTCAGATGTTTTACATTTTGCTGGCAACTTTTATTTTCAATAACAATTTTAGTACCATAATTTCTTTCAGGAGTAACCTGAGAAGGTCTGTCAGTTTTGTCAGAATCGAGGATGGTTAAAACAAAGTTTTCTGTGTATTTTTTGCTGACGCCATCATTGCTATCAGTCAGTGATGACACATCCATGGTTCTGCAGTTCTCAATTTTTTCAGAAAGGATTGCTTTCTGAGTAACATCTGAGGGACAGGGTAAACTAGTCACATCATCTTCACACCCTGTTGCACTATTGCAGATTACAGATGTATGGCTAGTTGTGTTCAACTTAAAAGTTGCATTGTTCCCCTTCTCTCCTCCTGTGCAAGCTGTTTTGTCTACTTGGTTTTGGTTGCCCACAATATTCAATTCATTTGTCACTGGAAAAACAGCATCAGTAGAAGTCAAAGACTTGTTTGGAAACAGGTTTGTTTGCTTGCCAATGATGTACGGAGAAGAATCAAGGCTGCAAACAGAGGCTTCCTCCTCTTCATTCTTTACTTTTACAGCCAGAATACTGCCATGGTCCATTTGAATATTTGGTGAACCAGCTAAGCATTCTAATGTTGAGCTTTTTCCATCAGACAACTGCTTGCGCTCAGCTGGGACTTTATTTTCAGTCGTTACAGGATTTGGTACCAAAGGGCAGTCACCATCAGCAACGGAGTGGTTCTGAAGAGGGAAGTCTTGCTTTGTTGAGGGTATTACTTTGAGAACCAAATGTTTTTTGCCCTCAACCATCTTAAATCCCATCACTTTGGTTGTACAGTTAGGCGGAAGAGAGATTTTGTTTTTAACCATCAGAACAGTGAGTCCATTAGCATTGCAGTGACTTTCTACATTGGAGCTTTGATTCTCACCTTCCTGTAACATAATTTCTGCTGACGGTTCTATGTTTTGTGAACTTCTGCTCCAAGTCATGTTGTCCTTCTTTGCTACAGTCATGTCCATTAAGTCGTGGGTCTCCTCTGATGACAACTCATGGTTGATTATTCTGCCATTTTGGTTTGGTACATTTCCAGAATGATACTTTAGTTTTGGCATTCTCTGAGTTTCCTGTGATGAGCCACTATCTTCTGTCACCTTTCTTCTCTCAGCCTCCTCTTTGTGAACAGCTGCTGTGTGCTTTTGAAGGAGCTCATTCCTTGCTGCACCATATCCACAGATCTCACATGTAAAAGGGAATGTTTCAGAGTGACCATTTGTATGACTCTGGTGATCTTCTTTATTCAAGCTAATATGTTTGCATTTTAAACACTTCCAATGACTCTCATTATGGTGGTGGATATGTTGAACGAAGGTTCCTGCATCAACAGTTGTAAACTCGCACCAGTCACATTTGAATTGTCCATTAATACTATGACACATCATGTAGTGTCTGGTGAGCAGGAGCAGAGAGTACTGAATGTTATCATTGCAGAGCTCACAGGTAACTAAGGTGTCCCTGTGCTCAATTCGATGGCGCTGAAGAACAGGGAACTCGTTAGTGATAAAATCACACAAGTCACATGGATATGTGGGAAGAGTTCCTTTATGAATGGCTCGGAAATGTTTAAGAAGATCATTAGGGCTAAAGGTTGCACTGTCTTTACACACAGAGCAACCAAAACTCAGAATTTTTCCAGAGAAAACAGCCCGCTGATGAAATTTAAAATGGCTTTTAGCAGTTGGTTTGTCTTTCTTAGCTGAAATCCCATGATCCTTGAGAGGAGATTCTTCTGCATTACTGAGCGGCCCATCAGTTACTTCTTTCAAATGCTTGTACACAAAGTCTTTCATCTTTTCGTTTTCATCTTCTCCAGACGATAAGTAGCAATTTTTGACAAAATCATGAGGTCTTGTGAAGTTTTCCATAGTTGAAAATCTGCCGTCTGTAAGAAGAGAAACAAGACATTTTCACATTTGTAAATGCCAAAAAGCCTCAACTCTTAAAATAATGATACGCATGATTATGTTTTGTTCATAAAATATCTATATTGCATTATAAAACTGCTTATGTGTCAAGACAAAAATATGAATATAGCTATTCTTTCTTGTTTAGAATTATGAAGATTTATTTGAGTCGTTCACATCATGGAAAATTAAATAGCAAACATGGGGTGAATAAAGCATTAAGCTGCAAAATCAGGTGGTTTGTGATTTCTGTATTAGGGGTGCACCGATTGCAGTTTTCTGGCTGATCACCAATTTCTAAAAAGTCTGACCTGTCGATTCCGATTTTGTTTTATAAGCGACACTGTCGGGTGTTATAAGGTCACAATACACCTTCAATTTTCAAATCTTATTTTGTTGAAAAACATACCCATGAATAATATCCTAGGAACAATACAAACTTGTTTTAACTGGCCATGAAGTAGTGCTCTGAAATATAAATGACGTTTAGACAATTGTTGTTAAAACTAAAAAAATTAGGTAAAATCTGTTTCTCATGCAAGTATCGGTCGATTTCCGAGTTCCCAAAATTAAGAAAATCGGGGCCGATTTAGCGGTGCACCCCTATTCTGTATGGCTCCTTTTTTCATTACAAACCACACCCTTCATAAAAGGAAATTGCCTTGATTAGAAGCAGGCTCTAGACATTTTCATATTAGTATAAGAAACTAAATATATATCTCTACAACGTTGCATTACAATGTCTTAAAATGTACAATTCCCAATGGGTGTGCAAAACTCGTTTCCCAAATCACCCTTCTCCTAATTTAGTCTGGTTTCTAATGAAATTACCATTGAAGATGTCCCCACCACTTAAAATCATTGCTGTGGCAACAGTTGCAACAGGTCAGGCACTAAGGCACTTTTTGCCCCACTCCCCTCAGGAAGGAGATTGAGGAGCATTAAGTGTAGAACCACTAGACTGAGGTACAGCTTCTACCCTGAGGCTGTTAGACTCATGAATCTCTAACTAGAATCACTGTGAAAAATCACATCATGTTGCTGCTGATCTGTTTCATGTTGCTGCTGATCTGTTTCAATTGTTGATGTGGTCATGCGTGCACATCTGCTCACAAAGACTCATGTTCATGTTTGTACTGATGTTCAATGTTTTTATGTTATGAGTGCTTAGTGTATATTTAGTTGATGTTTTTCTTAGTTCATATCTTAGATGTTATTACTGTTTTTCTTATACATTTTATTGTTGGATGTAACTGGGACCCTGTGTACATAATGTCGCTCCATCACAAGTACCACATGAGGTGCAAATGACAATAAAGAATCTCTGACTCTGACTCTAACTAAGATCACATGGTCACATCACTCAGGTTGTATGACAGCAGCTTTCCCTATTCATCTGCAGTGTTGTGTGGAGAGAAAGTGTCTTTATCATGCATTTATTTCAAACACAACATACTTAATGCTGAGCTCACACTAACTTCTAGTAGTAATTAACCATCATTAACTAGTTAACTAATTTTAGATTACATCCAATGATAACGTTCTGAAAGTTTAATTAAAACCTGTCCATTGGTTCATGACATACAGGTACTGGTCATAAAATTAGAATATAATGAAAAAGTTGATTTATTTCAGTAATTCCATTCAAAAAGTGAAACTTTTATATTATATTCATTCATTACACACAGACTGATAGGTTTTAAATGTTTTTTATTTTAATAGGATAGAAAGAAAGAAAAGACAAAGTATGACTCCAAAATATAAGAAATATACATAAAGAGAGCACACAGCAAAACACCCGGCCACTGTCTGTTCACCTGCAAAGAACATGACAAAACACAGCAACAAAATACATAGGTATAAAGAACTTAAAATATTCATGGCTTTGCAGTAAGTTTCCATAAATATATATACCCATACCTACGCCTATATACATACATACATACACATGAATATACATTCATATACATATCTATATATCTACATATAAAGCCTACATAAGCATCCCTGCATCTATTTGTGTGTGGTTGTGAGCATGCATAAGTGTATAAGGCTTCTCTAATAGAATATTTAATAGTAACTGTGAAGCAGCAGAGACCCGACCCCCAAGACCAGAGGCAGACGAAAAAGGGGGGACCAGAACCCAAGACCCTAGGAGGGACCCCAACCGCAGAGACCCCAGGGCCACCCACACAGGACGAACCACTCACCCACCCCCCAGATCGGACCACAGGGGAGAACCGGAAGATCCCCACCAGCGACCACATGCAGTGACCCCCCGGGGCCAACAGCGACAAACTCATAGGCCCCCGCCGGAACCCGCCGCACTGACGCAGTTCCAGGCCCGGGCACCGAGGCCTGGGCACCGAGGCCCGGGCACCGAGGACGCACACCACCCAGGCCAAGGCCTGACAGGGCCAGAGGACCCGAGCCCCACCAGGCAGACACCAGGCTGAGCCAACACACGCCCAAGCGCCCAGCCCCCGACACCAAGGGCCCCAAGCGCGCCGGCAGGCAAGGGCACACCCCACCAGGGAGCCGCGCGATAGGGGCACGATGCCAAGCACCCCCAGTTGTATCAAAGAGGGGGCAGTCCGAGTCTCGGCCTAACAAATACCCATTCATACACAGACACAATCACACAGTCCCAGCCTCATTCTCACACTCACTCACTCAAAGACATACAATAACAATACATTTCATTCTTATTCCCGTTACGCACTCTATACCCCCCAGGTCCAAGACATGTACCCTCCCTCTACAGGGGGCAGCCCATGCCCAAACCCAGGAGGTAGACCCATTCATTCTCGAGCGGAGAGGAGCCAATATCCCAGACCTGGCCCAGGCCACGCCCAGCCAACAGGACACCCCCGGCACGAAGAGGTCACGCCACCGACCACCCCCACACACCGCCAACAACCAAGCACGCGCCCCCAGCCGACCGCCCGCCAGGCCCTGGCAGCTACCCCGGCCAGCGGGCCAACCATGGCACCCAAAAGCCAAGCTCAGGGGGTCCAAATAACCCCAGGGAGAGCACAGCGCCAGCACCGCCCACGGCAATTCCCCAGACCCCCACATAGTCCTGGTCAACACCCGACGGCCTGCCCTTCTCCCGGACCCCACTCCCAGAATGGCAGTTAGGGAACTAGGGGGGTGAGGAAAAAAAAAAGAATAAGACCCCGACACATACACCCCCGCCCCTAGATGTGCTGTTGATGTGTGTTGTTGTATAGTGCCATTAAAAAGGAAAGAAGAAGGAGCAAAGGCTGGCATGATGCCAGTTTCCCCTCCACCCCAACTCTATTCAAACCCTAGTGTCTAAATGCAACCGTTGTAAGTGAGCACAGGCACAGGGGGCGAGAGTAAGGTCATCCCACCACCCATAGCCATGTGCCCACCTCAAGTTCCTATATGTGAATGTCATGAGGATGTTATGAATGAATGTCTAAGGTGTACAATAAAATTGAGTCCCAGGTGGCTATGGTCAACAGAGATGTAAAATTGTTGCAGCACACCCGAGCCCAAACAACCCTAAATGTGTGGAATTGAAATTAAGAGGGCAGAGGTGCATGGTGAGGGATGGGGAGAAATATAATTGTAAGAGCAAATGCTCCCACAGGGAGTCAGCTCCCCCACTGACCGAACAGGCCCCCCCAGTTCCCCAAGGTCCACCCAGGGATTGAGGCCAAGACACCTCTCCATCTGGACCGACCGCCAGGCCCGCTGAGCTCCAGACCAGAGAGGGACAGAGCCCCGAGGGCCGCCAGAAGCAGTACCAGCGGCCCACACACCCGAGGGCCGCCAAGACCCCCACAAACCGCAGTCAGCCCGCCACCAGATGAAGCCAAACCCCACCAGGACGACCCAGCCAAGAGCGCCCGCCCAACCGCCGACAGAGCCAGGAAGCACCAAGAGTGAGGCCCCACTACAGGAAAGGGGCCAGCCAGTCAACATATGTTTTAAATGTTAATTTCTTTTAATGTTGATGATTATAACTGACAACTAGTGAAAACCCCAAATTCAGTATCTCAGAAAATTAGAATATTACTTAAGACCAATTAAAAAATTATTTTTAGAAATGTTGGCCAACTGAAAAGCATGAACATGAAAAGTATGAGCATCAAAAGTATGAGCACGTACAGCATCAATCCTTAGTTGGGGCTCCTTTTGCTTGGATTACTACAACAATGCAGCATGGCATGGAGTTGATCAGTCTGTGGCACTGCTCAGATGTTATGAGAATCCAGGTTGCTCCGATAGGGGCCTCCAGCTCTTCTGAATTGTTGGGTCTGGTGTATCACATCTTTCTCTTCACTATACCCCATAGATTCTCTATGGGGTTAAGGTCAGGCGAGTTTGTTGGCCAATTAAGAACAGGGATACCATGGTCCTTAAACCAGGTACTGGTAGCTTTGGCACTGTGTGCAAGTGCCAAGTCCTGTTGGAAAATGAAATCTGCATCTCCATAAAGTTGGTCAGAAGCAGAAAACATAAAGTGCTCTAAAACTTCATGATAGATGGCTGTGTAGAGGACTAGGCCTCCGACCAAAACCTGCCTCTGAAGACCTTCATGGGACAGGAACTGTTATTTCATTGATTTGAATTCAGAAATACAAATTAGCTCATCCAGAGACTGTCTAATTGTATCCTGAAGTATCAATTGAAAGAACACTCTCTTTTTTATATTATCATTACTATTTTACAATATCTTGATAATCAAAAGTGTGTTTAGTTCATACCATTTTTAAATGTTGAAGTGAACCACTCATTTTAAATCAACTGTGAAACAGTATTAATGATTTTTTAATCCTCATTCAAATTAGAAATCAAGTTAAATGTCTATTTTACAAAGTAATTATGCATTTTTTGATCTTCTGTCTGAAATGAGAAAGAGCGATGTCGGTCAAAAGTCGGAGACGGTCAAAAACAAGTTGTTAGAACGGGCTGTCGTGTTTTTAAAACTCTCAGACAGTAAATA